AGAGAAATAGGTCAGGAGTCATTGCATTAGACAACCAACGGCTAGAAAATCGGGGTGCAAGAGCTAGAGCTCGGGCCTTCAGGCACAAATACGTGACTACACACAGTATGCATGTGTGTGCTCCTTTAGGTCATTCCACTTACTACTGTTACGCTAAAGGAAAACTTTAATATCTCTGACACATCTGAGTCACAAGCTTCCATCCGTGCCTGTGTACTCTCCTAATTTACTCACCTATTTGTGCTTATGGGGGTTGAGCTTTGGCACTTTGGTCCCGCCTCTCAACTGTCAATCAACTGGTGTACAGATTCCTGAGCCTACTGGGCTCTATCATATCAACATTTGAAACTGTGTATGGAGTTAGCCTCCACCCATTACTGCCTAATGCATTCCAACTGTTAACTACTCTGACACTGAAAAAGTTCTTTCTAGCGTCCCTGAGGCTCATGTGGGTACTCAGTTTCCACCTGTCTCCCCTTATTCGCGTCCCACCCGTGGTAAACATTTTATCTTTAACTATCTTGTCAATTCCCCTGAGAATTTTGTAGGCAGTGATCATGTCTTCCCTCACTCTTCTGTCTCCCCTGTCGTGTGTGTGTGTGTGTGTGTGTGTGTGTGTGTGTGTGTGTGTGTGTGTGTGTGTGTGCGTGCGCGTGTGTGCGTATGGCATGTGGTACGAAAATAGTCTGCAGGTGCTAGATCCAGGGAATCTAAAAGTGAGAGAGGGAGAGGGAGAGAGTTGCAGACATAAAACACTCAGAGGGAAACTGACAGAGTGGAAGAGGAACAAATATTTCCCCAGAACCACGGCACAGAGAGAGGGAAGGGAGCGTGGAGCCGGAGAGACAGGCGGACTCCACACGGGTGAGTAATGTCCCTGTGGGCTCCTGGTGGGGCAATGGACGTCAAGCCAACTCCCTCCACAGTTTTACAACTATATATGATTAGAATTACGTCAGTCCTCTGTAATTTAGACGATCGACCGCTGGAAAAGCGAATTACAAGAGCCGAGACTCGATCCTGCAGGTCCAAGTAGGTGTTTACACACAGATCATGGACCAATTTTTTTTTATTATTACTATTTTCTACCACAGACGTGGCCACACATTTACAATGCTAACCAGCATATATACATTTTCTTCTGTCCTCCATGGACAGGTTGAGAGATTTGTTAAACATATAGTTCAGGGGTTTATTGAACAATCAACCACAGAAGGTGATTGTATAGTGCTTTTAAAATGCTAAGCTAACCTACATACGTAAATACATAGATACACAGATTTACGTATGCCCTACATAAAGTGTTAAATGTGGCTTTTACATAGTGTCATTAATGTGCATTTACAAAGGTGAAATGTAATTCTGATCAGCTTCCACATATACAAATGGCAGGTGTTTACACACAGATCAAGGCCCAATGGCAAGTGATTTACCAGCGGACATTATCGGCGCTAACTGACTATACCACTTGGGATAGCCACACGAAGGCAGGGATCTGGGATATGAGAACTGGATGAAGGAACGACCAATTAACCATCTGGGGGTATTGGGGGATCGAACACTAGCCCTGCCAGAAGCGAGGCCAACCGCTGTACCCACCACTTCATTGAGTGAGTGAACATAAACGAAACAAAGATTGAACAGTTCAAAGGCTCAATTCCACTATGATTTTTTTTTTGTTTTTTTTTGAGATATATACAAGAGTTGTTACATTCTTGTACAGCCACTAGTACGCGTAGCGTTTCGGGCAGGTCCCTGGAATACGATCCCCGCAACGAAAAATCGTTATTACAGCCAAGTACACATTTTACTGTTGCGTTAAACAGAGGCTACAGTTAATGATTTGCGCCCTGTAAATCCTCTCCGGCCAGGATACGAACCCATGATATTGCGCTCGCGGAACGCCAGGCGAGTGTCTTACCACTACACCACGGAGATTGTAACACAGCCTGCCCGCTGTTTTACCACAGTTGTTGTACTCACCTAGTTGTGCTTGCGGGGGTTGAGCTCTGGCTCTTTGGTCCCGAACCAGCGAGTATATGCACTGTTGTGTGGTAGGCAGCGAGCAGGTAGCCACACAATAGCTGTGGTAGGCTGTGTGGTGTCCAGGGAAGGCAGATAGGCAGTTCATCATCATTTGAAGTCACTTCCTTCGTGAATAGATTATTCACCGCCCATCGCCTTCCTGTCCTGTCTTTTCCCTGCCCTCTCCCTCCCCCTCTCCCTTCTCTCCTTCCCTCCCCCTCTCCCTCCCCCTCTCCCTCCTCTCCTTCCCTCCCTCCCTCCACTCCCGTCTCAATTCGAGCCTCGTCAAGGTATGCAAGTAAAATACGTTACCAAAATGAACTGCTTCATTCTAAGGTAATATTTGAGGCAACTGCGCGCGGAGACCGTCCCTGGCCCCTCGTCCCCTAGAGAAACATTGACTACGAGCCCCTCAGTGGGCCCCTACACCGTCCCTGGCCCCTCGCCCCTGGACACACCTGGACCACGAGCCCCTCAGGGCGCCCCTACACCGTCCCTGGCCCCTCGCCCCTGGACACACCTGGACCACGAGCCCCTCAGGGCGCCCCTACACCGTCCCTGCAGGTGTTACCGCCGCGGAAGGACTCTTTACATATTTTGGCTGGACAATGGTTCACATTTCTCGCCCAAATGATTTTAATTTATTCACTAGTGAATATGGTGATTACAACTCCATAGTACACTGCTGAGTGAAGGATGGAGGTGAGAGAGTGCAAGGGAGTGCACACTACACGCTTTCAGACGTAAATATGATAAGAACCTAATAGGCTCAGGAATTGATTGACATTTGAGAGGCGGGACCAACGAGCCGAAGCTCAACCCCTCCACAATCACAACTAGGTGAGTATATACATTATGGTCTGAGGGTTAGGGTGAAGGGAAGTGCCGCTGCTGCATTAATCACCAACACTCATACACCATGGAACAAAGCACACTTGAGAACACTTGTAAAGTGAACTTTACAAAGCAATTTGAAGACTATGTTCTTCCCCTCGGGCGAGCCGCCGCCTCCTCCCGTGGTGGGGAATTAGGGATGCCACAGTTGCTGCCAGCTTGGGGTCGACACTTTTCTGAAACCTTAGACTGTAATAATGCCACAGACAGCAAGAACTGTCACCTTGGTCACGTTGGCGTCTTTAACTCTTAATGACTTTTGATGTGTTGCACAGAAATATGAGACGCAGTCAGACTTCCAGCAGCAGGGCGCGGCTGTACCACCACAATTACTCGCTGCAACACACAACCAAAATGCTCTTATTTTGGGGTTGCTGTTTATGTTCTTTTATTATTTATTGGAAGTGGTAATTATTTAGAAATTACTGTGTGTGGGGACCCTCGTCTGTAGAGCATATCCTATAACTTTAAAATATATCGTCACGCAACATCTGAACCATCTAGATCAGTGGTTCTTAACCGGGGGTTCCCGTACTCCTTAGGGGGGGTTATAGGAGACATATAATAGGGGGACGGGGTCATGGGACTCGATCTCTGGACAGTTAAAGAGATGTTAGAATAGACGTCAACTATCGCCATAATTAGTAACTGAACATTGATTCCAGGTTTTGATTGGTCAACAGCAAAAATCTCAATAGTTGTGTTAACTTGTGTATTTGTAATTTATTGCTTTTCAATAAATTACAAAATCCTTATGATTTTATTGCAGCTGTTGTGTTCCTTGTTATCCACGTGTAACAACGTTATTGACATCCTTTGAAGTCAAACTGATATCTAAGAGGACTAGTGGCGGTGAGCTCAACAGTCTTGTGAAAGGGGGGTAGGGAGCCGGCCGGCCGAGCGGACAGCACGCTGGACACGTGATCCTGTGGTCCCGGGTTCGATCCCGGGCGCCGGAGAGAAACGATGGGCAGAGTTTCTTTCACCCTATGCCCCTGTTACCAAGCAGTAAATACGTACCTGGGAGTTAGTCGGCTGTCACGGGCTGCTTCCCGGGGGTGGAGGCCTGGTCGAGGACCGGGCCGCAGGGACACTAAAAAAGCCCCGAAATCACCTCAAGACTCAAAGGGGGGGAACATGTTGAACAATCCCCTGGGGATTGTAATCTTTAGAAAGTTTAAGACTCTCCTGATTAAGACTTCATCACGTAAAGGGGAATAGCATTTTATTTATATTTTTCCTTAAACACTTTTCCGCTAAAGTCGAACCATATGGGCCATAATTAGCCGACTTGGAGCTCACAAGGGAACTCAATAAACAGCTAAAACCATACCTGATCAACCACAATGTTATACCTCATACGTCAGGCTACGAGCAGGGTGTCTAAAACAGTCTGGTTGACCAGATCAGCAGCCTGGAGAGGTCTAGTCTAGTGGTGGAGGCCTGGCTAGAGACCGGGCCTCGGGGCCACTGATACTGAAAACGGCCAGCTTATGGCCTCGACTTGACCTATGGCCCCATTGACCCACTCACACCTGGAGAGGTCTCAAATGACCTTTGGGACCGATTAAGGAATTAAGTGAATTAGGGTCATCAATTGACCAATTAAACGATTAGTTGACCCCTTAGGGTCATTATTTGACCAATTAAAGGATTAGTTATCCCCCCAAAGGGTCATTAATTGATAAATTAAAGGATTCATTGATCCCTAAGGGTCATATTAGACTGCGAAGCGTCGTTTGTTATGCATAGGTATTTTTTTTTATTGTTTTCTAGACAATGTTTTTAACTGCTATTATTTTGTCTTTTTTTTTTTACTTACGTTTCCCAAAAAGATTAGGCAATTCGACATTACCGTGTTATCAGAAATCTTCAAAATTCCATATATTTTGTTTTCAATTAGAATTTTGTTGGACAAATCAAAACAATATACAAATTTGTCCCAAAAATTCATGTACCAATACAGGCACACATTTTCATCGAGAAATAAAATAGGAGTATATAAATAGTTCACTTCACTGAGCTTGGGATCTGAATGTGTGTTATCTGAGCATGTGTTATCTGAGCATGTGTTATCTGAGCATGTGGTATCTGACCATGTGGTATCTGACCATGTGGGATCTGAGTATGTGTTATCTGAGTATGTGGTATCTGACCATGTGGGATCTGAGTATGTGTTATCTGAGCATGTGGTATCTGAGCATGTGGTATCTGACCATGTGGTATCTGAGCATGTGGTATCTGAGCATGTGGTATCTGACCATGTGGGATCTGAGTATGTGTTATCTGAGCATGTGGTATCTGACCATGTGGGATCTGAGTATGTGTTATCTGAGCATGTGGTATCTGAGCATGTGGTATCTGAGCATGTGGTATCTGAGCATGTGGTATCTGAGCATGTGGTATCTGAGCATGAGGTATCTGAGCATGAGGTATCTGAGCATGTGGTATCTGAGCATGAGGTATCTGAGCATGAGGTATCTGAGCATGTGGTATCTGAGCATGTGGTATCTGAGCATGTGGTATCTGAGCATGTGGTATCTGAGCATGTGGTATCTGAGCATGTGGTATCTGAGCATGTGGTATCTGAGCATGAGGTATCTGAGCATGAGGTATCTGAGCATGAGGTATCTGAGCATGTGGTATCTGAGCATGTGGTATCTGAGCATGTGGTATCTGAGCATGTGGTATCTGAGCATGTGGTATCTGAGCATGTGGTATCTGAGCATGAGGTATCTGAGCATGTGGTATCTGAGCATGAGGTATCTGAGCATGTGGTATCTGAGCATGTGGTATCTGAGCATGTGGTACCTGAGCATGTGGTATCTGAGCATGTGGTATCTGAGCATGTGGTATCTGAGCATGTGGTATCTGAGCATGTGGTATCTGAGCATGTGGTATCTGAGCATGTGGTATCTGAGCATGTGGTATCTGAGCATGTGGTATCTGAGCATGTGGTATCTGAGCATGAGGTATCTGAGCATGTGGTATCTGAGCATGTGGTATCTGAGCATGAGGTATCTGAGCATGTGGTATCTGAGCATGTGGTATCTGAGATCGTAATATGTCCCCGATTATGTCTTCATTATTTATAAAGACCAGATCTAGAATATTTTTGTTCCTAGTTGACTCTGATATCTGCTGGTTGAGTGAAAATGTCACAGAATCTAAGTAGTTCTCTGTGGCTGGTTGTGTCTTCATAGAGTTCCTGGTATAATATTATTGTTTGCTCTTCTCCATATTAGACTAGACAGGTATCGGGTTCGCCAAATTATCAAGGCTATTCTCTATTTATATTTATCTGTTCTGTGAATTCCTCAGTCGTTGCATCTGGCGGTTTGTAAATAAGAATAATAACTAAGTTTATTTTCTCTATTTTTACTCCTGGTCCCTCTACCACCTCATTTGTAGCGTGGATTACATTGGCAATCTCCCCAGGTAAGTGGTTAAGTGCAATACTGATAGTTTCCTTAATTTATAGAAAAATCACTTACTAAGTAATGACATCAGACCGACCGAATGAGGTGACTTCATCTTTGCCAGAACCCATTGGGCACTCAACCCTGTGATCTAATTATTATGCCGGATAATAACAACCCTGAATTTTATTCAGCTATTTCATCCAATCATGTACACATCTCTAAAGATCTCAAAACTATTCTATGTTAGTGCAATCCGTGGATAGATATCCACAAGTTGAGTGTGTACCTTGCTAATCCCATCAGTGGTAATCCCCTGGGGAGAGCCATCCAGTAACCCTTACTCCCAATCCAGGTCAAAAGTGACTATCTTCACTTTAATAAGACTTAATTGAAATCCTCAGATTAGGCAAAATTGTAATTAATTTTGTCAATAGAGATGTTAATAATAATAAATCTGACTCTTAAAAACTGGCGTGCACGAGTATGCAGCAGCGCAACAAACCCAGCTTTTTGTACAAGATACATCATTACTATGTGCAGCCAAACTGTTACAGTAGATTGGCACCACAATAACCTTCTTCCAGCAGCTGGGCAAGTCCCAGGTGTAAATGACTCATAGATTAGTGCTAGGGGTAGGCTGAGGGCCTGTGCTGCTTCGTTTAACATCCATGTTGATATTCGATCTGGCCCAGTAGCTTTAGTTACAACCAGTGATGATACCTGGTTGATGGGGTTCTGAGAGTTGTTCTACTCCCCAAGCCCGACCAGAGGCCAGGCTTGACTTGTGAGAGTTTGGGCTACTAGGCTGTTGCTTGCAGCGGCCCTCGGGCCCACATACCCACCACAGCCCGGTTGGTCCGGCACTCCTTGGAGGAAACTATCTAGTTTCCTCTTGAAGATGTCCACGGTTTTTCCGGCAATATTTCTTATGCATGCTGGGAGTATGTTGAACAACCGTGGACTTCTGATGTTTATACAGTTCTCTCTAATTGTGCCTATGGCACCTCTGCTCTTCACTAGTTCTATTCTGCATTTTCTTCCATATCGTTCACTCCAATATGTTATTTTACTTTGCAGATTTGGGACCTGGCCCTCCAATATTTTCCACGTATATATTATTTGATATCTCTCCCGTCGTCTTTCTAGCGAGTACATTCGGAGAGCTTTGAGACGATCCCAATAATTTAGATGCTTTATCTCGTTTATGTATCCCGTGTATGTTCTCTGTATTCCCTCTATTTCAGCAATCTCTCCTGCTCTGAAGGGGGAAGTGAGTACTGAGCAGTACTCAAGACGGGACAACACAAGTGACTTGAAGAGTACAACCATTGTGATGGGATCCCTGGATTTGAAAGTTCTCGTAATCCATCCTATCATTTTCCTGGCCGACGCAATATTTGCTTGGTTATGCTCTCTAAAATTTAGGTCGTCAGACATCATTATTCCCAAATCCTTTACATGTTGCTTTCCTACTATGGGCAAATTTGATTGCGTTTTGTACTCTGTATTATTTTTTTTATTTTAATTTTTTTTGAGATATATACAAGAGTTGTTACATTCTTGTACAGCCACTAGTACGCGTAGCGTTTCGGGCAGGTCCCTGGAAGACGATCCCCTGCCGCGAAGAATCGTTGTTACAACCAAGTACACATTTTACTGTTGCGTTAAACAGAGGCTACAGTTAAGGAATTGCGCCCAGTAAATCCTCCCCGGCCAGGATACGAACCCATGACATAGCGCTCGCGGAACGCCAGGCGAGTGTCTTACCACTACACCACGGAGACTGTATTCATTTTTAAGGTTCTCATTTTTACCATATATGAGTACCTGGAATTTATCGCTTTTAAACATCATGTTATTTTCTGCTGCCCAGTCGAAAACTTTATTAATATCTGCTTGTAGTTTTTCAATATCTTCAACAGAGGTAATTTTCATGCTGATTTTTGTGTCATCTGCAAAGGATGATATGAAGCTGTGCCTTGTATTTGAGTCTATATCTGATATGAGAATAAGGAAAATCAGTGGTACAAGGACTGTACCTTGAGGTACTGAGCTTTTAACTGCGCTTGGACTCGATTTTATATGGTTGACTGTTACTCTCTGTGTTCTGTTCGACAGAAAACTGAGTATCCAGCGTCGTACTTTACCAGTTTTTCCCATTGACCTCATTTTGTGTGCTATCACTCCATGGTCACATTTATCGAATGCCTTTGCGAAATCTGTGTATACCTTATCTGCATTCTGTTTTTCTTCTAATGCCTCAGTGATTTTGTCGTAATGGTCAAGTAGCTGTGAGAAGCATGATCTTCCTGTTCTAAATCCATGTTGGCCTGGGTTGTTGAGGTCTTTGGTCTCCATGAAACTAGTGACCTGACTCCTGATCACTCTCTCAAATACTTTTATTATGTGGGACGTTAGTGCAACTGGTCTATAATTCTTTGCCAATGCTTTGCTCCCTCCCTTGTGTAGAAGGGCTATGTCTGCTGCTTTAAGCGCATCTGGTATCAACCCCCTGGTCCAAGCTCTTCCTCCACACGATACTGAGTGCCTGTGCTACTGACACTGCATTTTTTTATAAATATTGAATTCCATGAGTCTGAACCCGGGGCTGAGTGCATGGGCATATTGTCAATTTCTCTTTCAAAATCTGCCACGCTCGTGTTGATATCAGTAATATATTTCCTGGGGTTTGGATATGACGCATAAAGAAGTTGTCCGGATCTTCCACTTTCATGCTGTGTATCGAGGTGCTAAACATGTCCTCATACTGCTTTTTTAGGATTTCGCTAATTTCCTTGTCATCCTCAGTGTATGAACCTTCACTAGTACGAATAGGTCCAATACTGGCAGTGTTTTTTTATTTAGCATATGTGAAGAAATATTTTGGGTTTTTCTTTATTTCTTGAATTGCTTTCTGTTCTAGTTGCCTTTCTTCAATCTGATATGAATGCTTCAGTCTCTGTTCGATTTCTTCAATCTCCCTGTTTAAATTATTCCTATCTGTATTCTTACTTTGCAAGCTGTATGAGGTGTATTGCTAGCTGTATTCTTACTTTCTCTGCTGTTACCTAAATATTTAGTAGTTTCTCATCAGGGGGCTGCTTCCTCATCTAGCTCTGGGAGCTGTTCAGGCTCGGTAGTGAACACTCCATGGAAGCTGGCATTGGGTGTATGTATTTACTACTTGTGTCTACAGAATCGAGCCTCTTGGACCCCGCCTTTCTAGCAATCTATTTTTCCTCTATTATGTCTACTACATATATTTCTCACTAACACCCACAAACACACAGGAAGCAGCCCGTAGCAGCTAACTCCCAGATATCTATTTTCTGCTATGTGAACAGGGTGAATGAAACTCTGCCCATTTGTTTCCGCGTGTGTTACACACAGTGTATAGGTTACACACTTACTGTGTATGGGTTACACACTTACAGTGTATGGGTTACACACTTACAGTGTATGGGTTACACACTTACAGTGTATGGGTTACACACTTACAGTGTATGGGTTACACACTTACAGTGTATGGGTTACACACTTACAGTGTATGGGTTACACACTTACAGTGTATGGGTTACACACTTACAGTGTATGGGTTACACACTTACAGTGTATGGGTTACACACTTACAGTGTATGGGTTACACACTTACAGTGTATGGGTTACACACTTACAGTGTATGGGTTACACACTTACAGTGTATGGGTTACACACTTACAGTGTATGGGTTACACACTTACAGTGTATGGGTTACACACTTACAGTGTATGGGTTACACACTTACAGTGTATGGGTTACACACTTACAGTGTATGGGTTACACACTTACAGTGTATGGGTTACACACCTCTTACAATGTTAAACTTGTAAGATGTCAAATTTAAAAAAAATAGTGATAAAGACTACATATATTTCTACACAATATATTACAGATAATTCTTCTTGAAACTTTTCTGGATATGATTTTTTTAACTGAATAAAACAACTGTAGTAAAAATGTGTGTGTGAATGTCAGGTGTTAAGGATGGTGGGGCGGGGGGGGGGGTGTTAAAGGGGGTGTAAAGGGAAGGGGAAAAGGGGTGACAGGAGTAAAGAAAAGGGGGAAAGGGAGTGACAGGAGGCAAAGAAGAGGGGGAAGGGGGTGACAGGGATAAAGAAGAGGGGAAAAGGGGTGACAGGGGTAAAAAAAAAAAGGGGGGGATAAAGGGAGAAAATGGGTGACAGGAGTAAAGCAGACAGAATGGGGGTGAACGTATTACCACTCAAGAGACCCGAGTGGTAATAATTATACACACCTAGTGAAATAACACCTATTTACAAGTCAAAATAATTTGGATTATACACGATAAACTAGGACGAGATATATAGGCTGGACCCTCCGGTACAATTATCACCTGACCAGACTTGATGAAACATGAAGCTAGAAACAAAAAAACAAAAAAAAATAATTCAGTTATGCGTAAGTCTAGAAGGAGACAAATGAAACGTGATTAATCCGAGAGTTTCTGTGATTGGACACATTTTCCTGAAATACAACACTGAATTCCTTTGAAATTGTGTTGAATCACGGAAACAATCGGATTATTTTTTAATATTTTTTCGTTGTTTATTTTTTTTTGTATTTTGTATTCTTTGTAT